CTGCCTGGGGGCATGAGTTTCGCTCTGGGCCTCATGCATCGTCTGTGTTTGAACACTTTAAATAGCCTTGTGTGTGCAGTTACGCACTCACCTAGCAAAAGCGCTGCGTGCAGGGGAGTGGATGGCTCTATAATTCACCTTTTACTCAGAGCAGAGAGACAACTTGAAGTTTTGCCAAGCCTACTCTTTATTGCCGTTGCAATGATAGTGACTTACAGTAAGCACATATAAAACTTCCTCCCTTCTGTGGTTAGGACAGAATTTACTGCTAATCTTGTGTGCTTGTGAGATGAACCCATTTCATCTTCTGCTAAAGACGACAGTGTAAGATATGTGACTGTCTTTGAAGAAGTCTGTGCAACCCCTGGCATCTTTTAATCAGACAACTGCATTCTTACAAGCCTGTTGATCACTGTTTTGTCTGCAGGGGGTCAGTACATCAGAGCTTTCCTGACTTTACCTTTGTGAGTGGAGAAATCATTGGAAGATTTTTCAAATTAAAAGGAGAAATAGATCCAAATGAAGCTATTGATATAAGCAATCATGCTTCATTGGCCTTCCTGCAGAAACATTTGAGTAAGTATCTGTTTACTTCGAAGTATGAAGTTAAATTAATACTTAATTCCTATGAAGCTCTTCATATAACTGTTCTGTTTAGAACAAGATCAAAAGTAAGTGTGTCAGAAAAGTTTAAGTAGAAAAAACAGTCAGACTTTTTCTAGAGGTTTGTTAGTTCCTTTTGTAATCTAAGCAATTCAGAGGAGGAACATTGCAGTTTTGTTCTAATACATAAAAACCTGGAGTGTCATTTTTCCTTCCTTAAAACATCATGCCTCCCCTACTTTGCCAAGTTGATTCATCTGTTCTATAATTTAATTTTTCAGTGTAGTTTTACAAAAAGCTGACTACTTAATTCATTACCACTTGGGTTTTCTTTCCCTCATTTTATAGGTCTTAAGAAAGATTTTGATAAGTGGGATTCTCTTGTGGATGGCATAGGACCCAATGTTATTCCTGGTACCAATATTGACTTGTCTCCAGCTGAACCTGAATAAGGAATACAAAGAAGTACTGAAAATGCCACGGACATCAGGACACTAATGTTGGCCAGACGTTGCTCAGACATGTGATAGCATTGGCCACCTACACAGCTTTTGGGGTGTGAAACAATAAAAACATAAGGCATTAGGTTACATTATCATGAAAATGTAGAGGAGTTTTAGTTCAAATGAGTTAGTGGGATTTTCTGAAATACAGGGTAACTTCTGCTTTATAGGCAGCTGGGGGAAAATCACCCGATGGTAATTTAGACACTTTCTGGTTTTGACTTAGAATCAAGTGTGCAGAGAGAGCGAGCTTAAGCTCCAAGGAATTCAACTAAAGTTCTGCTTACCAAGCTTTAAGTCAGTTTGCATCCAGCAAGCCTTTTTTGCAGTGTAAGAAAAAAAAAAATCTTTGTTATTAAACTACTTAGTATTTCAGCTGTGCTCTGACAACAGTTCAGAGTTGGAGCAGGCTTTTGCTCCTTCTAGTCAGAGAGGTGCCAGTGAAAAAGGGTCTTCAAAACTGTCTTATTTTAATGAGTCACAGTAAAAGCTACAGGAAATAGTTTTAAGGTAAGAGCAGAGAAAGGTGTTTGAACATACACAGGACTTCTCATATGAACTTAATCCACTTATATTTAAGATCTGTGTTTACTGCCATACTCGGAAGATATTTCCATTCCAAAAGCTGCTGAAATGGTCGCTCTTGTTGTAGCAACTGTAATTCCGCTTAGGCAAAGCTCCAAGCAATGCCTCTTGTTAATCTCTGTATTACCACTGTCACTCAGTCATACTGTTGTAGGTGAAATTACAGAAGAGATGTGTCACTTCTACTGCTTCCTTACAAAGGATTATGTAAGCATTGCTTGATCATCTTCATGTCTGTCATGGTTGTAACACTCTCCAGACACTCGTCTTTGTCCAGGTACTAGCACCGCTGTCTGTATCTGCCAGTAGAAGCAGCTATGTGGTTGGCTAAAGAAGGCTCTGACTTTCAGCACAAAACTCTTTGAAGCTGCCACATGGACGGGTGAATTCTAAATGAATAAGCCTTGCAAAAGGGGGACTACTTCTAACGGTAGCCTAATATACTGGGTTTGCATGGCAAGCTTTTGCGGGGGGAGGGGGAGGCTACAGGGGTGGCTTCTGTAAGAAGCTGCTAGAAGCTTCCCCCATGTCCGACAGAGCCAATGCCAGCCGACTCCAAGATGGACCTGCTGCTGGCTAAGGCCAAGCCCATCAGCAATGGTGGCAGCGCCTCTGGGACAACACAGTTAAGAAGGGGGAAAAAAAACCCCAAAACCACTGGGACACAAATCACAGCTGGAGTGAGAACATGTGAGAGGAAGGGCTCTGCAGCCCCCCATGTCAGTGCAGAAGGAGGGCAGGAGGTGCTCCAGGCACGGAGCAGAGATTCCCCTGCAGCCCTGGTGCAGCCCCTGGCGAGGCAGCTGTGCCCCTGCACCCATGGGGGCCCCCGGGGGAGCAGAGATCCCCCTGCACCCGGGGAGGAGCCCACGCCGGAGCAGGGGATGTGCCCCAAGGAGGCTGGGACCCCGTGGGAAGCCCACGCTGGAGCAGGCTCCTGGCAGGAGCTGTGGCCCCATGGAGAGGAGCCCAGGCTGGAGCAGGTTTGCTGGCAGGGGCGGGGACCCCGTGGGGGACCCACGCTGGAGCAGTCTTGGAGGAGGCTGCTCCTGAGGTGCTGCACCCCGTGGGAGGGACCCACGCTGGAGCAGTTCATGAAGAGCTGCAGCCCCTGGGAAGGACTCATGTTGGAGCAGTTCATGGAGGACTGTCTGCCGTGGGAGGGACCCCACGCTGGAGCAGGGGAGGAGTGTGAGGAGTCCTCCCCTGAGGAGGAAGGAGCAGCAGAGATGATGCGTGATGAACCGACCACAACCCCCATGCCCTGTGCCCCTGCACTGCAGGGGGAGAAATTGGGAGTGTAGAGAAACTGGGAGTGAAATTGAGCCCAGGAAGAAGGGGGAGGTGTTTTAAGATTTGGGTTTATTTCTCATTATCCTACTCTGATTTGACTGGTAATAAATTAAACTGATTTTCCCAAGTTGAGTCTGTTTTGCCCATGACGGTAATTGCTGAGTGATCTCTTCCTGTTCTTATCCCGACCCATGAGCTTTTTCCTTGTATTTTCTCTCCCTGCCCAGCTGAGGAATGGAGTGATAGAGCTGCTTTGGTGGGCACCTGGTGTCCAGCCAGGGTCAACTCACCACACCTATTTGCTTCAAAATCAGGTTACAAACAAAACAACTGAAGCAAGCAGAACAAGCAAAGCAGTTAACAATGTAATTAAATATTTATATAATCCATGATCTTAATATCTAAGACTTGTTTTTCAGAATTTCATTAAATTCTCTCCAGCCTACCTTCATGTGCTGTCTCTATTAAGGGAATCAACATGCAAGTGTTTCTCTTACTGAGTGAGATCTAATACTTGAGATCTACTGTGATACTCAGCCAGACTACTACATTGTCAGAGATCTTGCGTTCCTAAAACATTATGGCAGTATGAAAAATCCATAGCCACTGGAGAGGAGGAAGAACCTATGCTATACAGGAGCATGGAGCAGGACTGGAAGATAGAAATCCCTTTTGAACATGAGGTGGAGAATAAAAGGTGAGATAAGCTGTTTAAGAAGTCCTTACCACACTGTACACATGCAGCAGCAAAACCATTCTACTAGGTCTGCTTCATATTTGTAGGAAAAGCTTCAGCCTTAACTGCACTAATGAAAGGTATCTCATAAATACAAGTTTATTTTGCATTCACCATAGCTCACAGTACTCTATAGAGAGCTGTTTAGGGTCAAAACAGAACCAGTAACTGCAGAATGTGCATAGCTACATCTAACTGCAATAGTATAGTTGCAGATACTCAGTATGCACACAGCATTTGGGCTTATGTACAGGGAAAGAACCCAAGTCATTAACAAAACACCAATTGGTATATGCCAGCCAAAGCTTTATTCCAGCTTCTTCCATTGCTATATAACAGTACCAAATGCAAGACTTCAACCCAAAACAACTATGTTCCCCTACAGAGAAAAAACTCCCCCCTCCAAAAAAAAAAAAAAGATACCCTCAACTTTTCTTAGGACCCCCCCCCACACACACACATGTAACAATGCAACTTTTCAAAAAGCAAGCATCAGAAAGCAGTATTGTGCAACACAGTAGTCTATACAGCAATTCACAAGAAACCTTTTTTCAAGAACCACCCACCAACAGCTAGGTACAAGTTAGTGCAGGCACACATTCAGTAAGGAATGCCAGTCAAGAGGCAAATTCTTTTTTAAGTAAAGAAAGTACAGCTATAAGAAGCCAAGCTGACAATAACAGTCTATGAACAAGCACTACTCCTTCACAGGGAAGTATGGTAGTGCCAGGCAGTTGCTTGGTTAGGTAGAAGAAACACCCACTGCTTTGCTTGTATTCTTGTTTCCATGAAAACATGTTTTCATGGGAATGTTTGCGCACACAGGTACTTGTTCAGCTTCATGTGGTGAACATGTCACTTGGTTTCAGGAATGTTGGAGGACATGAGGATCTTCAGCTAAATCTGAACTGCAGCCAGTTTGCTTTTCTGCAGGGAATAAAACCAGATTAGACCCATCAAGATGTTTCTATAAACACGTATAAATGCATTAATATCTAAAGTCATCGCTCTACAAGGCTTCAGACTAGATGTCATCAATATATTGGACTGCACTAAAAGATTACAGTTACACAAAGTTATCACGTAAGGATAAGACATTTCAAGCAACGGAACCGCCCAGGAAGATGAAGCAAGCAGTGGTCCCAGATTTCGGTTATGAGTTCAAGCCACTCTATCCCTCAGTGGGCTTAGCGCAGGCCACTGCGGAGTTTTTGCATCCTGTGGATCAGGTACCTTCTACTCAAACTGCCTTTCCAGGCCGTGGCCCACATGTCCAGCAAGACCCAATTCTGTGCCACGTGGTTGCGTGACCTTAGCTCATGTTTTCTGCACTGTTGCTGAGAGGGTGCATACACTAATACTGTGCTTTGCTCTGTATTCAAGAACACAGGCAGCGGGCAAATTTGGACAATAACAATTAGCAACCAAAAAGGGAAAAGAAACCCCAGTAAAATGAAGTGGTAGAAACTGTGTAAGTATTATGAAAACCAGAAACAGCAAGATCAAGAATAATCCTGCATTTGAGTGATGCGATCGAGGAAGGATTCATAGATTCATCAGTTTAACATTTTAATCAAGTTCTTTTAACTACTTTTTTGCCCAGCAGGTTAACTAGATGTCTGTTGCAGGCTTCATTATTTGTTACCCATAAACCAGTCAGCTTTCAGTACAATTGTACTGAAATACAATTACCAATTCAATCGTTGAAAACACAAATGCTATCTCTACTTAAGCTTAGTTCAGTCTCCATCAGGCAACCACTGGTCAAACACAGGAACAAGTTGCCCAGAGAGGTTCTGGAGCCTCCATCCTTGGACAGATTCCAGACCTGAAAGGAAGCAACCTGAGCTAGCTGACCCTGCTTTGAGCACCTCCAAAGGTCTCTTAAAACCAGAACTGCTCTGATTCCACAGATTATAGAAATAGTATATAATCAGAAAGAAACTGTACTATTTTCTTTAGTACACAGGTGTTTGCCAGTAACACTTCAAAATTTTGAAGTAACAATAAAAATGTACATGCACTATTCACAAACTACCCTTACAACCACCACGATGGTATTATTATGGGTTTAGATTCATAGACCAAGATCTGTTAAGGGATGGGGGCATTCAAATCCCAAACTACAATGCTTAGTAGAGTCTGCCTAGCAGTCGCTCACCTTGCCTCAGAAATGTGAGCAAGAGTAGCATGCTGATGGCCAATGCTCAAAACCCTATCAAAATCTGTAACTTAGGTGTACCACCCCAGCTTGTCTAAGAGGTTCAATCCACTAGGCTGAATAAATAAGTACAAAATTGATTTCTAATCAAGACAAGAGTAGCAGCTTTCATTGCATGTATTCACCATTAAACTGACAGTATGCAAGCTAATGCTACTAAGAAAATTACAACAACAGTATCAGTGTAAATACATAAGCTCAAAAAAAAGTGTTTCAACTGTATTTTCTAAAATAAAGCATTTTCTAGAATATTAGAAAG